ACCAGTTGCCTGAGTTAAGGAAAGCCTCCAGCTTCGGGGGCTGGGAAAACATCTCATAGCTGAAACCTAAGGTTGAGGGGCTTTCACCAAGCCCCTAGATCCTAGATCTTGGAACTTTTAACTCAGGCTTCTAGGCTTCAAACTGTAAGAGAATAAACTCCTGTTTGTTAAAGCCACCCATTTGTGGTATTTTGTTACAGGACCATGAAGTAATAATGGGAGGAAAGTTCTGAAGCAGGTGGAGTGGCTCACTCCCTTGATGCAGGGATGGTGCTCACATAGACAAAGTCATGTCAAAGGGTCCACTTCGATATATGCAGCTTGCTCCTGCCAAACATGCTTCAGCAAAGCTGCTATGAATGCAATGATATGTAAGTAGAGAAGGAGTGACAGACAGCGAGACAGTGGGACATTAAATGTCAAAAGGTCCTGGGATGTCACCTGCAATGATGTTTCTCCTCTAACCATTTTTAGGATAACACTGTCGTGCAGTGAAATTGTGCTCCCTTCTCATTGTAGGTAAGCGGGTCTACAGTGCCCACCAGGCAGCTCTCACTCTGCGCTGAGACATATCAGGGTGCAGGTGATCCAGTGGGGAGGGTCACGGGACCAGATACTGGGCCTAACTCTTACTGTGCCCTTGGGCACATCACACAACCCGTCTACACTTCCGTTTGCAGTTCTCCCTCTGCACAGTGGTAGTGACAGTGATACATCCATTGTGCTTTGTGTAGTTACATAAACCATGAGTAAATTGATGGGTGCTAAGAGGATGGCATGACAGAGTCACATAATAGAACCATTTTTTTTCCAGAATGCCACCATTGCCCTCCCACCAGTACCAGTAGGAGTTCGTTATCTGCCCTGGGATGTGGCCCTCTCAGAAGTCAGGCCACTCTCCCTTTTGTTTTATAAAAGGAGAACATGCAAAGAAGGCCCCTCCCTCTGCTGGTGAAAAGAAGCCCAGCTCCAACCCTGCAGCTCTGGGAGAGGAGCCCCAACACCAGTACTCCAGGTGTCCCCGTTCAGTGATCTGGACTGAACACGGACAGATCACCATGGAGTCTGTGCTGAGCTGGGTTTTCCTTGTTGCTGTTTTAAGAGGTCATTTTACGGAGCGAGTATATGTGAGTGGGCAT